TCCATAGAGAGCGCCCGCCCCCCCCCCCCCCCCCCCCCCCCTCTCATACACACACACACACACACACACCCACACCCCCCCCGCCCTCTCGCCCCCCCCCCCCCCCCCCCCCCCCTCTCTCTTTTTTAAAACACCCAAAAAAAAAAAAAAAAAAAAAAATATATATATATATATATATATATATATATATATATATATATATATATATATATATATATTTTTTTTTTTTTTTTTTTTTTTTTTTTTTTGTAATAATAATAATAATAAAAGTATTACAGAAGCTGATGGGAACATTAACAAAATATTGCTTTGGATATTTTTATGCATCTTTTCATGTTAAACAAATTGGCCTTTAAGTGTCCAGTCTTTTAAAAAACTGGACACTATAAACTTTCAGAAAACATTCAAGTTTTACTTTTCCCCCAAAAAGATAATGGGAACATTAACAAAACATTTCTATGATATTCTTTGTTCTATGGTGCTTTTTATATAAAACAAATTGGACATTAAGGCCCAATCCCAGTTCTCGAACGAAGATTTTTCAGGACCACACTCGAAACCAAGGGGTAAGAAAATTTCCCAGAATGCACCAGCCACAGCGGCAGCATTGCTGAACCCGGAAGTAAAGAGATCCACAAATTAGTAGTTTTTGTCATTATTACGATTTTTTTATGATAAACAAACACGTTTTAATATATTTATAACCGTGTTTGTGTTTAACCATCATGCATTTAAAATAAAACGCAAAAAAAAGATACATTTCGCTATCTATAATCCCTGATAATAACTCCTGTATAGCAGTCCCACAACATTTTGACACTCCGATACCATGTCAGTAATGTCTAGTGGTTGAGAATGACCTTTTTATAGTGTCTGTTAATGTTAATGTTGTTTTTGTGTGTTTACATAGATGAATATGGCCATGGTGTTAATACACAGTACAGTTACGATCTTATTGCCACATTAGATTGTTATGATAACATAATCTATGCCTTCAGTGATTTCCTGAAGATAAATACCAAAAAATAACACAACTAGAATTACTACAGCAGTCGCCATCGTCTGATCTCATATGAAGCAAGAGATCCCGATGACATATGATGGCGTGTGCAGGTGCTGTAGTGCTGTCCCAATTCTTAAGGGTAAATTTTAAAGCCCTTCCCCTTAACCTTCGGTTGTAAGGGCCAAGGGGAAGGGGTAGGAGTACAAAATTAGAATTGGGTTTGAGCCTAAGTGTCCAGTTTCCATCATGGTGAAGTTTAACCTCTTTGGAAAAAATAAAAAACTGTTTTCCAGCATTGTTTATTGACTTTAATGGTTACACAGGAGCCTCATTGAGAGGTTTTCAAGGAGAATGGGCATCTGGACTTAAAATAACTTCATAAAAATAGCTATAAATGAGACTTTCGCTCAAAGATATGAGCGAATGTTCCAGTAACATCCGTAGCATATTTGTTCAAAGTTAATTATGTTGTCTAAAGGTTTACATCTCATGGAATGCTTCTCTGAAATGTTTGCTCAGTGATAAAATGGGATGTTTTCTCTAGCGTTTGCATAACCAGGGGAAAAATAAACCATTTACAAAACTGAACAATTCCAGAAAATTCTGAAATAATGTTTATGGGAACATTCGTAAAATGCTTTTAGGACACATTTGCACAGTCCATTCTGAGATTATATTATTGGACTCTTTTTAATAATGTATAAAAAAAGTATTATATAAATAGTAATAATATATAAATAAATGATAATATAAAAACATAATAATATATAAATAGTATTAAGTGGGTAATACCAGGCATGCTAATGTTTAATCCCTTACACTGTTTGACTCCAAACAAAACTTTTTGTTAATTTATTTTGGTTTATTGATGGTGGACAGCAATCTTTCTTCATAACACGAGTCTCACTGAGGGAGACGGAAAGCATTCGGGGGAAAAAAAAGCTTTTGGTTTTGATTGAGTTTCCATGAAATGCAATGAGAAATTGAATGGGCATTTGGACTCAGTGTTCAGGTTGAATCAAGTTAACATTGACTGGAAGACTCAACAGTCAGATCCAATGAATTCATCATGAGACGGATGATGTAAACATCTCCTGCTGCATTCATTGCTGCGCAATATTGTCTGATCACTAAGCTTTTAAGGATTTGTGTTTAGAGTTGTTTTAATATATTAGTATTACAAGTATAATTTAGTACTTTTGTGTTTGAGACATTAAGATATTTCAGAAATTTTGGTAACACTTTAGCTTTATTAAAAATAAGGGAAAAAAGTCTCCATTTGATCTTGACTTAAAAGAATAGCTCACTCCTTAGTTCACCCAATGTACTCACCATTTCTCAAGTGGCTCCAAACCTTTGAGATATTTTGAAGATTGTTGGAAAAAGCGAGGGAAAAGCGGGGACGAAAGTATTTTTCATTAAAAAAAAATCATTTTAAAAGATAATTTTTAACAGAAATATTTTTGCTGTGGATACTAACTCACAACAGTGGTTTATCAAAATCTGGTGTTATTTTGTATCAGTTTAGAAAAACTACAATATAACTTTAATTTAAACAAAAGTTGCACATTGTTAATTTTGACCCCATCAACAGGCACAAAAGCAACACACGGCTGGGTCAAAAGTAACAATATTTGCTACATTTACTGGCTTCATCTTGTTTATTTTAAATATATCTGACTACGATCTTGTTAATGTTCACTACAAACATATTTTGTCCTTAAACAGAATTTTCATTTTAAATTTCACTTCCATCAAATTTTTCAAAAGCAATTCAACAATGCAAAATGTAAACATTTTTTACAGTTTTTTAAAGATTTTTTATCATTATTATTGCCAATATGCATTAATTTTATGCAACATCATAACCCTAACATCGAAAACTTTAATGTGGAAGTGGAAAAAGCAAATGGCTATTAGCAGTGGGACATAATTAACAGAGTAACTTTCACGCCCACAGGAACTCTTGCCATTTAAACCTAATTTACTTTTAAACTGGAAATCTCAGAGATTGCAAACTCAAGAATGTGTTATTGTACTAAAAAACCTGTAGATTGATTATTTCTGCAATAAGGAGAAACACAATTTGTAATTAGGAAGAAAGAACCCCTATGAGTTTCTGTGCCCGACGATCGGGTTGTTGTGGTCCTAACCTTCGACCACCACCTGTTACACAATGCACCGGCCCCTTACGGTGGTAGGCCTGCGGGAGAATGGTCCCAAGTCACTCCTTCTGGCTGAGCCCGGCCAGGTTTCATGGGATAAAACCTGGCCACCAAGTGCTATACGGGCCCCAACGTCAGGCCTGGCTCCAGGGTGAGGCCCTGGCTGCGTCATATCGGGCGACGTCACAGTCCTTGCTGTTGTTGTACTCATAAGGGGTTTTTAAAACGCACTTAGTCTGACCTGTCACCTAAGATTTTTTTTGCCTTGGGAAACCTTTCCAGAGGCATTAGCCCCCGACAACAAAACTCTTAGGTGCACTCAAACCCCTTCACCACGAAAACACCCTATTCACACGGGGCGTCAGCTTCAATGCATCCCATTCACTTTGAATGGGTGACGTCAGGGGTTGTCGAACTGCATTGTGGATCCGTTGACACCGCTTAAGTGGCGTTGCTTGCTGCAGAAGTTGGGACTTTTTCAACTTTTCAAGCGCCGATGAAAGCATCAGCCAATCAGATCGCTGTATGCAAATAGACCAGCTCAGACAGTAGCTGATTGCTGACTAATTTCATTGACTGATGCTGCTAAAACGATGGTGACAGCCCCAACTTCAGACACACCCTCTGTCAAGCATTAACGCTGAAGCCCTGTGTGAATGGGTCGTAAGGTGGCGGTTCATGGAGGAGTGGCATAGCCGGCAGGTTACAAACCTGAGGGGGAAACCCCAATGGATTTCCAATGGCGCACCCTTACAGATAGGGTGAGGAGCTCTGTCACCCGGGGGGAGCTCAGAGTAGAGCAGCGGCTCCTCCACATCAAGAAAAGTCAGCTAAGGGGGCTCAGGTATCTGTTTCAGATGCCTCCTGGACGCCTACCTAGGGAGGTGTTCCAGGCATCTCCCACTGGGAGGAGGACACGGGGAAGACCCAGGACACGGGGAAGACCCAGGGACTATGACTCTCAGATCCCCCCGGAGGAGCTGTAGGAAGTGTCTGGGAAGAGGGAAGTCCTAGGGTTTTCTCCCGAAACTGCTGACCCTGTGACCCGGCCACAGAAAAGTGAATGAAAATTAAAAGAAATAAACCCCTACAATTACTTTAATTACTTTCTGTGCTTAAAAACTGAAATTTGGACCGCAGGTCATGATCCTGAAATCAGATAATATTTGGCAGCTCCATCAAGGGTTGCATGCTAAATGTGCTGTTAAAATTGCTTTTTTACTTTCATCCCACGTTACTTTTGTCCCTGCTCTCCCCTACCAGTCTTCAGCATTCTTCAAAATATCTTTTGTTTGTGTTGAACAAAATTTTATGATTAATAAAAAGAACGTGGCGTAATCCTCGATTTTTGGTGCACTTTCTATTTAATTACTTACCTGTTTTTTCAGTTTTTGCTGTGGTTTTGCCTGATGCTGATTCTCTTGCTGTTGTCGTATAGATTGGTGCAGATATCTGTGGTTTCTTCGATAACTCGACGGAGGAGCTTTGCAGACGTTGGATGCAAGTTGGTGCATTTTACCCCTTCAGCCGAAACCACAACGCACAAGGATACGAAGTACGTCCAGCTCCTCAAATACCCACAAACACTCAGCCTCAAATACAAAAACATCTGTGTACTGTATACAGTTGAAGTCAAAATTATTAGCCCCCCTGAATATTTGTTTCCCCAATTTCTGTTTAAGAAAATATTTTTAAGATATTTCTAAATATGATAGTTTTAATAATTCATTTCTAATAACCATGCCATCATGACAGCATAATATTTGACTTGATATTTTTCAAGATACTAGTATTCAGCTTAAAGTGACATTAAAAGGCTTAACTAGGTTACCTATGCCTTTTCGCACAGTGATACTGGTAAATATCCGCAAAATTTCTGGAAATGTCCATTCCACAATACTGGTAAATTCCGACATCATTAACCAGAAATGACCTCTAAAAAGCTGCGCTTGTATTTGTAAACAAAGAAGGGGTCAGGCTTTTGTTGATGGTTTCACTTTTATTTAAAACCAAAGACAGAAGCACAAACAGCCTGCTTCAGTGCTGGCGCTCACTGGAGCACTCCTTCACGTGCACAAGCGTCACGCAACTAAAGCAGAGCGAAAAGGTAAACTAACAGCGGTTTGTCATAAACATTTTATCGATAATTCTTTACACAGTTGGCATTAATAATGAACATAGAAACATTATCTGACTAACAACTAGAAGCTAATTGTGTCTGGAAAAATATTGAAAGGCTTTTATTTTCATAAACAGCGCTGATGTGAATGTGTCTGAATGTTCTGATTTGCTGAAGTAGACGTCTTACGTCAGAGCGTTCCAAGCGTGAATGAGCTCTTTCTGGTAATTTTCCTTCTGCGTTCACACAGCGCAGCATTCCAGCAAATTACCAGTAATGTTACAACCTCTCTTTCTCTCTAACATTAATAACATTAATTTTGGGTGAAACACATAAGCAAACACACAATATCAACAAGTGAGAAACAAAATACCACGACTAACTGAATGCAATAAAGTGAGTTTTTTTTTTACAAAGATAGTAATAATAATAAATGCAAAAATATGTATATGAAAAGAACAATAAATGTTTACAAGAATAAATTGAAAATTACATATAACAACTGGACATAAGATGTTTGAACAGATAGATGGGAGAGTTAGAGAGATGAGACGCGGTGGCGTCCAAACAATAGAAATAAATTTCAAGAGTTCCCACTTAGATATGCTTGGCATTTAAAGCAGGTTTGGCATGCTGTCCCGTCAGAGAACCCTGAGCTTGGAGATATTTGAGCCCAGGGCTCCCGCCTGGTTAATAAGCATATCAGGGGATCCGAGATCAGGTAGGTCTCGATAGCTCCCCCTTTAGAAAGGGGGAAAAAGGAGGAGATGGGGTGGAAGGAGGGATTCTTCCAAAACAAAGATAGAGCAATAAGGAGAAAGTGATCCATTTATATTAAGCTAGGATCACTCTGATTGGATTATTACTGATTACGGATGAGTGGCCAGCAGTGCTCAATCATATCACGTGCTCCTCTCGAAATTAGTTTATGAAACTTCACAAGGCAAAGCAATCTATTGGCTTAACCTCTACCCTAACTATCCAAAAGAAAAATATAGCAGTTATTGAAAAGAAATCTTCACGTCTATTACACACTACCTAACCTACTCTAATTCATTCATTCATTTTCCTGTCGGCTTGGTCCCTTTATTAATCCGGGGTCACCACAGCGGAATGAACCGTCAACTTATCCAGCAAGTTTTTACGCAGCCGATGCCCATTTCTGGGAAACATCCACACACACACACTCAATTCATTTGTGGTACCCAATTCACCTGTACCACATGTCTTTGGACTGTGGGGGAAGACGGAGCACCAAACCCACGCGAACGCATGGAGAACATGCAAACTCCACATAGAAACGCCAACTGAGCCGAGGCTCGAATCAGCGACCCAGCGACCTTCTTGCTGTGAGGCGACAGCACTACCTACTGCGCCGCTGCTTCGCCTCAACCTACTCTAATATGTATGAGAAAAATAAAAGTACAGTGATTGGAGCATGCCCCTAGTGTGTCTAACAAAAGTGATATTCAAAGCTGGTGTGCACAATGTATGTCTTGCGACATTCTGCCCCACTCTCCAACCTCAGATGCGCATAACACTGATGGTAGACAAAATGGAGAACAGACAAATTACATGGGACATATAACAAATTGTAACACACTGAAAACGGATTGCAATTTCACTGACACACAACACAGAGCCTCTCGAGTAGTGTCCTGTCACCACTTTTATGCCACCGTGGCAGCGGCTGAATTGGAGACCGTGGGGTGACGTTAGGAGAGGGCGCGGCAAACAGCTTGGCAGCGGTAGCCAATCGGAGCCACTGTATGGGTGGAAGCAAGAGAGAGGGAGAGGGAGAGAAAGAGAGAGAGCGCTGGAGAGAGAAAAAGAGGGAGAGACTAGCGAAAAAACTAATAATAATATTAATCACGAAACACAGGACTGTACAGGAATGTAACACAGGTATTTAAAAAAAAAAGGCCTGTAATAATAAACATAATCCCATTCCGGAATATTCCCAGTAGTTTAGTATATTTATGTATTTTGGCTGTTGTACTACTGTTAGCGACTGGGGGGAGGGACAGGGGACAACAGGAGGTAAGATCCAATATGCAGGTTTATTCAATGTCAGGCAAGCAGTGGTCATCAGGTGCAAACGGGTATATAAAGGCAGTCCAGAATCTAAAACGTTAAACAGGCAAAAGGTCAAAGGCAGGCGGCTAAACAGGATAACAAGGGTACAAGGCTAGGATCGAGACACGGAGAAACAAGACAGGGAAACGCGTTGTAATGTCACTAGAAAGCAAACAGAAGGAGTGACTGGCTGTTTTTCAATTCCAAGAACGCAGAGAACGGACTTGCGTTCTTGTGGAGACCGGTCTTGCCAGGTGTCCTCGGAAGAACGAACTCAGGAGACCTTGAGGGCAGAGAACGCGTCCTTTGAGAAATGGGATGCTGCGTTCTTCCTGATGGTCATATGACCTTCACGTGTTTTAAATGGAAATTATTTAAACATTACAGCCTTCATACAACGATTTATTGTTTTTCCCCTCTTCAAAATATATACTCTGCACAATATAAATAAAACAGATTTTAATACGTATTTCAGCAAACAACTCTTAATGTGTTTATTCCTTTATTAAAATGTTCATGTTAATGTTTACTTTCACCGTTTCCTTTAGGGAAACTCCTGAGGTAAATAAGTGATATCTCTAAACTTTAATAATAAATCTAAATAAAATGCAGCGCTTCCCACCTCCAGTCGCAATGACTTCTGGGACTTCCAGAGCGAGTTCGGTGCTCAAGTCAGCATCAGTGCGTCCTCGATATCAAGAACACATCCGGAAGGTTTCACGCGTCTTCCGTACTTGCGGTCTTGAGTATTGGAACTGAACTTAGGCAGCTGATGATGACGTTGCACGAGAACACGAGGACGCAAGACCGCTGAAGAACGCATATTGAGAAACAGCCAATGAGTGGCTTAAATAGTGTGTGTTAATCAGTCTCTGAAAGTCCTCAGGTGTGAATGTAAATCAAGCTAAATGAGAAAGCAGGTGTGTGGGTGAAGAGCATGTATGAAGTTGAAGTCCATTAACTGGCAGATTTGTAGTTTCATGAGTGAGTGTTTACCAGCGACATCTGGTGGTTTGTTTACTGGTAAACATGACAACTACAATGGTTAGTCCTGTAGACACTTGAAAAAAATATATGGCTTGAGGTGGCTAACAATATTGACCAAAATTTTTATTTATTTATTTATTTATTTTTTATTAAAAACTGCTTTCATTCTAGCTGAAATAAAACAAATAGGACTTTCTCCAGGATAAAAAAAAATACATTATAGGAAATAGGAAAAATTCCTTGCTCTCGGAAAAAATGATTGTAAAAATAATTAACAGGAGAGCTAATAATTCTGACTTCAACTGTACGTGCTTCTGGCCCAAAGACGACGCTCTGAATCACAAACGTGTCCTTTCTCTTTAAATGCTATTTGTAGAAGATTTATTTCTCTAATCATTATTGTGAGATTGGCGTGAGAGAAGCAATCAGACCTCCGGAGCGAGAGTTTGAGAGGGCAAATGAGGATGAATGGAAAATGATATTCTTGGTGAAATTAGATGAATAAGATTTGACCTTTTAGTCGGAGAGTAATCATTCCACGGCTGTCTCCAGGACCGATGGCTCTCCGACCATGATGAACATATTATCAGTATCCACACAGTAAAATCCATTTCTCTCTTTGCTCTTCGGCTTTACTCCTCTTGACTGCCTTTTCTGTGTGTTTTTAACAGGACCAGGATCCTGCGTCGTACGGCCTGGACTCTCTGCTGGTGAACACCTCCAGGCATTACCTGAACATCCGCTACAAGCTGCTGCCATACCTGTACACACTGTTCTACAAGGCCCATGTTAACGGAGAGACTGTAGTGCGTCCCCTGATGCATGAGTGAGTTCAGCAGCATGTGCAAACAGCAGTTTCAGACACTGTTATGAACTTTTAGGCATTTCTTTATCTCTCACATACAGTGCTCGGCAAAAATAAGTACACCCTATTTTGAAAATGTACATTTGTATCTATTTCTCAGTGAATATTGGTCATAAATGTTGGTGAATTTGAACTAAACAGGTTTATTAAACAAATGTGTTTATTAAAATAGTTGGCAGCACAGTGGCTCAGTGGTTAGCACTGTCGGCTTACAGCAAGAAGGCTGCTGGTTTGAGTCCTGGCTGGGCCAGATGCCATTTCTGTGTAGAGTTTGCATGTTCTCCTCATGTTGGCCTGGGTTTGCTCCAGTTTTCCCCATTATCCAAAGACATGCACTATATGTGAATTGAATTAGCTAAATAGGCCTTAGTGTATGATTGTGCATACAAGAGTGTAAGGGTGTTTTCCAGTGTTGGGTTGCGGCTTAACATGCCGGAATAGTTGGCGGTTCATTCTGCTGTGGCGAATGAATAAATTAATATTTTACACACATATTTAGAAATAAAAAGACAATACATTTAAGATCAGAGAACGTCAGCATGTGCTTTATAAGAATTTTTTGCTTTCTGCAGGTTCTATTCTGACAGTCAAACATGGGATATACACAAGCAGTTCATGTGGGGAGCACATCTCCTCATCACACCTGTACTGGATCCTGTGAGTCAACACACACACACGTGTTTGTTTTTGTGAGAAGTGGGTATATTACATGGGTTTCCATTCATTTTATACTGTTCAAACGTATATTATATTGCCCTTATCCCACCCTACCCCTAACCCCAACC